TGAAATCAACAAGATACTTCAAAACAGTCTATTTCAAAACAGAGACACACTTGTGTTCTTTAAGAGATTTTTGGTAAGCGAAACATTTCCCACATTGTTCACAGCTGAACGGTTTCTCTCCCGTGTGAATTCGCTGGTGCTTTTTAAGACAGCTTGCTTGACTGAAACTCTTCTCGCACACATGACACCTGAAGTCTTTTACTCCTGTGTGAACCACCTGATGGGTCTTCAGGTAACCTTTCTGACTGAAACACTTCCCACAAGTGACACAGCTATACGGTTTATCTCCTGTGTGGATGCGCTGGTGGATTTTGACATGCGTAGCTCGACTGAAACTCTTCCCACAAGTTTCACAACTATAAGGTCTCTTCCCAGTATGAATCTGCTTGTGGGTTTTCAGACTATTAGCATGAATAAAGCATTCACCACACTCATCACAGCAAAACGGCTTCTCACCTGTATGGACCCTAACGTGAGCTTTAAGATTACTTTTCTGGGAAAAGCTTTTTCCACAGTGCGGGCAACTGAAAGGTTTTTCTCCTGCATGTATACTTAAATGCGTCTCGAGGTTAGCTTTCTTTGTAAAGCTGGATCCGCACTGCGGACAGGAGAAAGGCTTCTCCCCACTGTGACTGATCTGATGTGATTTCAGACTACACACATAGGAGAAACTTTTCCCACATATATCACAACTATATGGTTTCTCTCCTGTGTGAACAACTTGATGTTTCTTAAGAAGGCTTGGCTTACGATAACTTTTATCGCACAGTGTACAACCGAACGGCTTCTCCCCAGGCAGAAGTCTGTGTGGTAAATTAATATGGACTCTTTTTGTATCAAACCTGTCATAGGATGAACCATGGATAGATTTCTTTTCACTGTGGATATTCCTCTCGTGTCTCTTTAAGTTACTTAGATAAGAGAAGCTCTCCCCACACTTTTCACAGCTGTACGGTTTCTCTCCTGAGTGTATTTGCTGGTGTGTCTTGAGGCGGCTAAAACAATCGAAGTTCTTTCCGCAGTGTGAACAGATGAATTGTTCGATCACCGATTCTATCATTTGGCTCTGCGCAGTGAAGCTGCTCCTGCTGAGGGAGGAATCGTCTTTCTCCTTCACAGCCAAATCCAGCTGTATGGAGCAGGTTTCCGTGTCCATTCTCCCCCGACTTTTATCACATGTGGTCTCCATGGAACTCTCTTCCCTATAGTGTGAATGTTCCAAAACTGGAGTCGTTCCCGCATCCGAACCGGAGTCCACATTCCCTTTAAGGACACAAAGAAAAAAAATAAATTAAAAAATTACACGCTGTCCAAATAACACCCATTTTTAATTGAAAGTGAATTGAAATTCACTTTCAATTAAAATATATGTTTGAAGAAACATACACTGTAAATTCACTGAAAACACAGTATATGCTGTATAATGCAAGTTTTTCACCAAAATATCTCTTGAGAAATTAGTAGATCCATGACTGAAATATTTTGCCATGTTCTGGGGTCTGAATACCAATAAGTTGGAATGAAAGTCTTGTTCAAATCTGTTTTGATAACACAATTCAGAAAAAAAAATGAAAACATGGTAATTCATAGAGCTAACAATAAACAGAATATGAGAGAGTTTGATACTAGGGACCACAACTTAATCATTTAAACAAAAAGGTCTATTTATTGGGTGATGAATGAATTGAAATTAAATATTGGGGGGTACACGTCCTACCCACTTCCTACACCCCTGTATCTGTGTATTATAGACCAAGTTCAAAGTAAAAAGATCAGGACCCTTTACTGCTGGACCGGTGGGTATGTGTGGCACAGCAGTGAGTGAGTGTACAGCATTTATAGATCACAAGACAGGATTGTAAGGTAACATTTATGAAGGGATGCAAAGGTTTAGTGATGGAGTGAAAACCGTAAAACGGTTAATAATATTTTCCAATCCTGTCCCTTTAGGGGCCCAGTAAGCAAGTTACCCCAATAAAAGAAAAAAATTACCTGAGAGAACTTGGGTGACATTTTGTTATAAGAAAAGTTTGCAAGTTCAGTATTGATGTTAGAGATTTGTAGTATTTAACAGCCTTAAACCTTACTGACTATAATACTGCACTTCGCTGTTTAGAGCAGCCATGATGTTTGGGGTATAATCATTTAACTACATTCTTGTTAGTTCTTTCCCCACTTACTCTCCTCTCCGTCCTGAAGATCACTGGTCCACAGCTCCTCTTCCAGTTTCTCCTCCTTAATTAGTAATATTTCCAGTCTGTCTATAGCCTCCTAGGAAAATAATGACACTCTCAATCATGAACAATCTATTCATGATTTTTCAAATGGCCTCCTCTCGTTTGTAAATTTCGTGTGTTCTTATTCATTAAAGCTGCTGCAATTGAAAATCTCATAGGTTTAGGATTATTGGGCTCATATATATGAAACGTGTACAGCCCCTTTTCATCTGATCACAAGAATATTCTCCAGTACATATAGATTGTCTGCAAAGGCAGAAATATCAAAAGCATGAGCTAAAAAGTTCCAGCCAGCTTTCATTCTGTAGAAAAGTCCATGTTATTTTTTCACCTGACTGTAAACACTCGTGTCATCACAGTGAGCTGGTGGGGGTGTTCCTGGGGGCAGGTCCTTTGGGTGTCCCACAGTGCAGTACACAGTGTTATCCTGGGGGGTATTTGGGGAAAATGCTCTGTTTGCGGTATTAATGTGTTCAGAAAGCACTCGGATATGTGTTGGAATTATTTTTTGGTTGATAAAATGTAATGCGTAAGTGTTTATGCTAGGCTAATTATTACGTGTGGCATTAAGACGGATGTATTAGTAATTTTTCCATTTTCTGCATATTTCAGTTACAAAAACGTTTATAAATATCTTCAGTAAAAGGAAGAAAAGTAAGCCTTGAGTGGAGATTTTTTTTATTTTGTTCACTGGCTGTCTAGCTTCACATAGTCGCGTGTCGTGGGGACAGCACACTTCACTTTTTCTGATATCCTGTGCTGCACATGAAGCTTTTCTTCACTACTCCATCCTGTTTTTTTTAAGTCACTTCACACCTGTATTTCCTGTATTTTGGATTTACAGGCATGAGAAAGCACTCGCATGCACATGTAACTTCTTCTGTTCGCAAGACACAACAGCAAACAAAAAGATCACACAGCACTGTGTAACATAAAAACAGCAAAATGGCAACAAAATGATGTACTGTGGGAACCAAGACCATGTTGTGTCACTGCAATTTAAGGAATATATTTTTAAATCATCTTGAAAACGTGATTAACTGTTTTGCATGTGGTGACTCACACAATGATCACATTCATATATTTTGCAAATGTTAACAGACATCCAAGAAATGACCCAAAGCAATCGAGAAAAACTGTAAGTCTCCTGATTGTAATAATTTTAATACTTTTTCATTTGAAATGCAAACAGTTTTAGATTATTCTATACAAGGGAGAGAAGCAGCAACTGAACTTCAGAAATTCCGCCAGCAAGATCACACTGTGTCCAGATGTACATTCTGCTTCTGAACTCGCCCTGTCCAGGGGCTGAACCCCACTGTGCCTGCTGGACACTTTCAGATGGGGGCTCATCATTGGAGGAGCTTACTGATGTGGTCGTCTCTACTGACAGGTGGAGACAGATAATTAGTGAATCGTGGCTGCATTTCTTATAGCACTTACATGCACAAAGTCATAGTTTCAATGTAACTCCCAGGCAGACAGCACCTTCCTGGACCTGAAAAGATGGTTCACTGTAGCCCCAGTTCTGACTGCTCCAGATGTGATAAGATGTGATGATCAGATGATGGTGAAGGTGGATGCATCACAGACTGGAGTCAGAGGCTGGCTGTCCCAGCATCCTGGTAAGGAGGGGGAGGTGCATCCATGTGCTTTTTGCTTGCATTGCCTCACCCCCCCAGAAAGAAATAGGGCATTAAGACCACTCTTGAAGAATAGAGATGCTGGTTAGAGGGGGCTCAGTGGCCAGTTTTTGGTTTTCACAAATCAGCGAAATTTGGAATATCTTAGCAGCGCTGAGCTCCTCAATTCATGCCAGGCTCATTTTAAGATTGTTTAAACTATTGCTTTGTCTCGCCTGTTTGATAATGTACCTGGACAGATGAAGGTTGAATCCATATTACCCCTCCTTCTTAACCATTGTGTCACTTACCTGGGAATGTGAGAAGATGGTAAGAACAGCCAGTGAAGGTGATTCTGCCATGTTTGCCTCTGTCTGTTTGTTCTGTTTGCATGGAAGGGTCCTACAATGAGGTCACAGCTCCAGTCTGGCTTGCCATCCCATTATAACATGCACGCTGGCTTTTGTCTAACAGCACTTTTGGTGGCCTGTGGTTAATGAGGATGTGAGGGGGTACAGTAATAAAAATATGGTGGAGGTTCTGTGATGGTGTGGGACTGTTTATCGTCTAAAGTCCTTGGAAACATTGTTACAGTGTATGGCATCAGGGACTCCATGAAATACCGGGTATTTTAAATCTAAGCCTGACTGCCTTTGCCAAGAACCTAAAACTGGGTCGTCATTGAATCTTCCAGCAGGACAATGATCTGAAACGTGTGCAAATCAACACAAAAAGAAGACTCTGTGCTATTTTATTGGCAAAGAGCGGTTGTACAAAGTACTGGATGCAGGGGTGCCAATAATCCTGGCATGTAGTTTTGGTAAAAAACAATTATATCTTGATAAGGGTTTTTTTTTTCTCAGAATAAATTTACTTCAGTTAAATGTTGGATGTTTCTATTTGTTTTTCCATATGGGATTAAGCTAATTCACTAATAGGTTAATTGTCACGATGCGCGGCACACGGACCAGGGAAATAGGCAAACGGAAGCGGGAACGGGGTTAAATAAAAAGATTTAATTGGGGAACGCAAGGGCATAAGGGAAAAACAACTCCGCGACAATACACGCAACAATACAATGACTGAACTAGGGAAACAAACTCTGACGTGGACTTAAATACATGGAACTAATACAGACAATTGGAAACAGCTGTAAAACACTGGGAATCGACATGAGGTTAATGAGGAGGGTGTGACACAGGAGGATCAGCACGATCGGGGTGTGACATTAATTGCTTATAACCCCTTTTACTAATCTTTACCAGAGGTGCCAGTGTTTGTGGAGGGGACTGTATATCCATCCACCCCTCCTTCTTCTGAACCCACTTGTCCAATTTAGGGTTGCTGGGGGTCCAGACCTTATGACAACAAGGCTGGGAACAACCCAGGGGTGGGCATACACACCTATGGGCAATTTGGTATTGTTTTTGGTCTTTGTAAATAGTTCGCTATAGTCGTCATGCGTGCAATATCATTGTGGTGTATTGTAATGTCATATGCAGTGTAGCCGGTAATCGCTGTATATAGCGTGTGTGTATATGTGTAGCCAACGTACATTTTAGGATTAAGCAGGGTGACGCACACGGTGGACAGTGTGAGTGGGTTGTCAGTATGCCTGGTACGGGTGCAGTAAACCCCACCTGGTGGTTAAACCCTGAACTGCGAGAGTGTTGATTAATTGAGCAGCATAGCTCAGTGACCCACCCTTACAATGGTGTCAGAAGTGGGATCGGAGGAAGACTACGGCCACTTCCTACAATGACCTGATGACTTCCTACTGTGGTGGCGGGGAGCACCAGTCTGTGGGATGGGAACCCAAGGAACCAAGCAGCGTGCCTTCCTGCGGCAACCCAATGGATCCAGCATGACCCACCCACATCACCACCAGGAAGTGCAGGCAGAAGCCTCCCACCAGCACTCAAGATTGGGAGTAAAGACAGCTATGAGGCTCCCACACTACGCTGGGAAGGAACCTCTGGAGACCTACCTCAGTCAGGGGCACCTGGCAGCTCGGCTCAATGCCTGGAGCGACGAGGAGATGGCGGTGCACCTGGCATTGGCACTGGAGGGGGAAGCGCTACAGGCTCCCTTCACCTTGATCCCCGGCGGGCAACAAAATTCTGCCACGGTGGTGGAGGCATTGGAACAGTGGTTCGGCCGGCGGTGGTCGGTGGATAAAGTGACCCATCGTTGCCTGGAGACGCACAGGAAGAGCTGGTTTTCCAAGCCTCTGTTAAGGCTCTAACACTAGCTTGGCAGTTGCACCAACACATCCAGCAGCAGATGCCAGCCACACTCGGCGAGACCATGGCTGAGGCTCAGCAGGACGAGGCCACCCGCAACGCATGCCAGTTCAACCCCAACAGCTGCCCCCACAGTGGGCCGACTTGGCGAGGCTACCGGCCTGTACATCGGCTGCTTGGTAGATGAGACACCTTGCCAGGCCCTCGAGGACACGGGGGTCCACCATCACTCTGATTTGCCTGGGGGTAATACCAGGCACAGGTCGAGCCATGCTAACCAGCACCAAACAATCAAGCCCACCAGGATTTTGATCACCATCAGCTCATCACAGAGCAGCACAGTGACCCCGTGCTGGCCAGGGTGGAGTGGCTGGGCGAGAGCAGGCATCCGGCCTAGAAACCAAACCTACCACTCCCAGAGAGACATCCTGGAAGAGCATGGAGGGCTGCGGTATCAGCACAGGGGAGCTGCTGCAGCTGCTGGTTGGTGTGAGGGTGGACATCCTGGGCCCCTTCCCCTGCACCGAGGCCAGGAACCGGTACATACTCATGGCCATGGACTACAAGGTTCCTGACAACAGAGTGCCACCTCCACCAACACCACAGCTTGTGGAGGAGTTTTTTGCAGGTTCGGGACCCCTGAAGAGCTGCACAGTGACCAGAGGAGGAACTTGGAGGTGCAGGTGTTTGCCGAGGTTTGCCGGTGGCTGGGGATCATGAAGACCCACATCATCCCCCTTCACCCTCAGACAGATGGGCTGCTGGAGGGGTTTCACCACACAGGCAGTGTGAGAGGGCTGTCAGTAAGCCTGGTGCAATAAACACATGGTTCAGTCACCCACCCTAACAACTGTAATAGATAACTGCTAAGAAAAACTTGTTGTTTTATTTGTATATTTTTATTAAGGGTCCAAAGCACTATAGTGCTATGGATTTTCCTATGGAATGTCCTTCTTTCTCATAAAACCTTCAAAGAATTCTTACCTTTCCCTTCAGTTTACTCCATATTTTTAATTTCCTTTCATTTTTCACCCATTTGCCTCAGAGAACATTATCAGACTTCATTTACACACGAAAAGGCCTGAAAGTATTGAATAGCATTTATCAAATGGAGCGCTGACTCCACCTGCTGACCAAACCATTTCCATGCCCATTTCATTCAAACAGCTAAATCTCAGGTAAGCTTCATCCAATCCTCACAAAATTTGACCCACTGATTTATCTCTGGCCCACAGACAGACCCTCCACCTTTCGTGCTGATCGGTCTAATGGGGACTCTACGGCCATTGTCTAAATATGTCTAAGACCCACCTTGGCTAATGTAGCTGAAATTACCTTATTTCTCATCAAATATTAAAAGATTAATCACCTTTCCCTTCATCTCAGTCCATATTATTGAATTGCTTTCATTTTCCTGCCATTTGACTTTTAGAAATGCAAGAAAATTCAGTGATACTTCAGCCTGTGTACACTGCAGCAATTGCAATTTCTTCCAACAGCTAGTCACCACATTTCCCTTCTGTTTCTCATCTACCCTTTTTCCTTTATCCTACCCTGATGAACATTTCTACTGTAATGTCCAAATGTCAGGTCTCATCATATCATAGTAGCATTTCCTGCTTTCTACCTATTTAAATGCATTGGCCATCAGTTACAGTCTGTACTTCATTTCCCTCCATTACTGAACTACTAATTTTATGCCATTCACTTCATTCCTCCCCATTGCTTCTGTCCATTAGCTTTGGACCCGTTCGTCACTGCTTGCAGTTATCTTTTTCTTTTATTTTTCTTCCCTAAAACTGAATGCCCAGCCTAAACCATAAGACCTAGGCTTACCAAATTTGACAGCAAGATGTGAATTCCTACCCACTACTCAGGCCCTCCGACCCATTCCAGTCAGTCAGATTTATATTTGTCTGGAAACAGGTTTTTTCATTAACCTCCTAGGATTTTCACCCAACCTACATAAATCTGGTGTCATTCTAATCACCAGTCCTTTTAAAGAAAAAAAACGTAAACTTTCGCTAAGGTATGGTCAGCAGCCACACCCAGACTGTACTGGTGCCTTGCCCATTTCAGTCAGACAGCTATATCTCAGGCATGCTTCAGCCAATCATTACCAAATTTCTCTCACTAATGTAGGGCTGTACCACAAACGGGAGCACTACGGCCACTGTTTATATATGTCTAAGACCCACCTAGGCTAATTTAGCTAAAATGAGTTACCAGATCAGGGATTCTACATTCTGTCCGACATCTACTGACCTGTTACCCCTGCACTAAAAGCATCTCCCTCCTAATTTCTACCTACTACTCAGACCATCTCACCCAAGCCAGTCCTGCTCTGTCCTACATCTACTATCCCGTTAGACCTACATTCAATCTCCACCCTGATATGGGAGTATAGTTCTGTCTGACTTTCTACTACCCTGGCCGCCGTTGACAGTCCTCCAGTTCTCCGCTGTTATTCCTCTATTACTTGTCCTACCTGTCCGATCATTCTAAGCTTTGGACCCTTCCATCACTGCCTGCAGTTACTAGTTTTTATTATTATTATTATTTTGTTTATCTTTGTGGTTTTTTTTTCTGCAATGGAAATTAGGAATAAAGCAGTCCTCCATAGGGGGTGGTGGAGAGATTTTTTAAAAAAAGAATAAATAGAAAAGAGAAAAAAGCTAAGACAGGTTAAAGGTAAGGAGGTATAATTTTGTATGTCAGCAACCTATTCACTGTATGTGCTGCTGTCGAATCATAGTGTGTTCAGTTATGACGAGAAAAACATGCTCCACACAGCTTCCAGAATAAGATTAAAGTACATGTACAGAAGATAAGCTTAATCATGATGCTTTATTTGCCATTGGAATGGTAATACATTGGAATGCTTCTTTTTGCATATCTCATCTCATGCTTCTTCTTGAGACATATACTGTACAGGTGAAAGCAAAGCACAGAGGGGGAAGGTCAAAGGAGGAGCCCCTATACTCATGTAATCACTTAATAGTTAAAGTGCTAGCGATTGTGCTATAATCTGGCTCATTTACAATCATTACTTGATTATTTCATTGTAGTGTTTGTTCATTAATGTGCATTGTCCCAAATAAATAAATAATAAAAAAAAAAAGTCAGTTTGCTTGGTGTAAGTGGAAGAAAGGCCAGGATCAATGGTCTGAATCAGGCGTGTTTATGTTTGGATTATATACTGTAACACAAGAGGCCAGATGCTTTGTATGTCATTGAGTTCATGTTCTCACACCATGAAATGCCAAATTAAATCCCCAATTCCATCTTCCAGTTCTTTGCATCCCATGGATCTTTTCACCTCCGTAGGATCACACACACAAATCTGCACAAACACACGCACACACACTCAAGGAGATTCTGATTCCAAGGCAAAGGAAGGCCAGCATTCCAACTGGCTCAGAGATGTAGAACCATAGGAATAACAACCTGGGCCTTGATTTAAGATCCAGACTAGAGCAGGCTGGTACCCCAAGTGTAATGGGGGGGGGATGCACACCGCAAGGGGGGATGCAAGTGATAAGGGTGAAACAAGGAGTGCTGGTGTTTTAGGGAATCCAACATGCTTCCCCCATCCTCACACATAGTACAGTTGTGGTCAGAAGTTCACATTCACTCATTAGGGACATGAATGTCATATTAATTCTGGGCTTTTAATGATTTATTTGTACTGTTATTTTTAGGTGGAAAAATTATACAACATATATCTTCAGTGATTTTTAAAAACGAGAATTTGGTGCACAAGTTTGAATATATTTTAGATTTTCTAAAATCCTCACAGGGTCAAAATTATATATACAGGCTCAAATATATACATACATTCACCTAAATCATTCCTAACCTTGTACATCTTTTACAACCAGACAATGTAGTAATCTATGAAATGGATGAAACACTTCCGATTGACCTTGTACTGAAAATGTCAGCCTGCATACGCTGCTAAATATGGTAATCAGAGTGAAGAACTGCTTATTGGTCTGTGTCTGCAAATGTGGAAATAAAATAAAAGAGGAAGTAGCTGCTGGTTTGTTTTCTGTAGGACAGTTTAAAAAGATTAAAATATCAGTTTTTCCCAATTTCCACCCATTCAGCAGTCATGTATGAAGAATGTAGATGTCACGTAATGGCGTGCAGGCGAGCAGGAAAGCAGGTAAGCCAAACCAGGAAGTCGAATAAACGGGGTATTTATTCATAGACAGGACAAGGGGAAGCACACTTACAAACACCAATGACAAATCTGGGGGAAACTAACCGAGACGAGGACTATATACACAAGACAGGCTGAGGGTAACGAGCAACAGGTGAGAACAATCAGGCAGAAACAGGAGGTAACGAGGTGGGCGTGGCACACATGAGGATCGGATGGAGCTGGACGTGACAGTAGAGCCCTCTTTCTCTAATTGTTTTAAGAACATGAATATTTCACAGAAATTTAAGCACTAATTAGTAAAGTTTAATTCTACTTTACACTTGAAGAGAGACAGGAGGATATGTACATTCACAATGTTGAAAACAGAAAATGAATTTTTTATAAATGACCCAAGAACTCAACAAAGACTGAACAGAGTCCTTAATAACCATTTAATGAATGTTGAAGAGCACAAAATAACTGCAAAATTAAATACTGAAATTAACTTTTTTCCGCCATAAACAGAACTTGCAGTCATCTGTCCCAGCAATGCTGGCATGATTTCTTACACACTAATACTCACACAGCTTGATGTATAAACTCCTAGCCAGACAAACTCACTCCCTGACACACGAACACGCTGTTGGTGTGGATCAGTCCGTTAGGACTCAGTAGCAAACGGCTTCAAACCCTGAGCTGAGACATTAAACCCAATAGCTCTAAGGACTGCCTGCTGTCTGTTTTATTGGATGTCTCTTTGGATAACAAACATCTGCTAAACAGTTATAAATGCATCATACTTAGTGCAGATGATTAACACTGACATTAATGTACAAATCACCTCCTCATGCATGTTGGCAGGTAACACATCACAGAGCTTTTACACTCTGATGCATCGCAATGTGCACACAGACTCTTTGCTAAGCAGGACATGTCACATGCATGAGCTGAAAAGTGCATGAATATTCACAGTACAGACAGACCCACTGCAAAGGAAGTAGCATCACAGGCATGAGCTAAAAAGTTCCAGCCAGCTTTCATTCTGCAGAAAAGTCCATGTTATTTTTTCACCTGACTGTAAATACTCATGTCATCACAGTGAGCTGGTCGGGGTGTTCGTGGGGGCAGGTCCTTTGGGTGTCCCACAGTGCAGTACACAGTGTTATCCTGGGGGGTATTTGGGGAAGATGCTCTGTTTGCGGTTGGTGGCACCACGTACATAGTGTTTGCTCCATCCGGGCCCATCGCCCCCTGCAGGTTAACATGCGTTATTACACTGCTAATGCAGATGCATTTGCATCACCATACAGCACTTAACAGGTCAGCATGCATTACAGAGCACAAAGGTGTTATTTGGAATGCATGACTTAGAATTTATAAAATAATCTGAATTATGATACTTTTATCTCTGTCCATTTGTACATATTGTGTGTCATTAATTATTTACTAAATATTTGTATGAAAATATTAAGTTACCTCTGAATTTCTTGTATGCCTGTTATGGCGTCTTATGAAATGGATGAAACCAATGCAGAGGCAGACAATGCCAGGTACCACCAGCCAAATGTACCATGATGATAAGACGCAGAAGTGGCGTTAGCCGCCTTACCTGTAACAGACATTGTGTTTACAGTCAGTTATACTGCCGACCATCACTGAACTCAGATAAACACAATATTCAAACTGAAACTAACCAATCCTGTATCCCCATCAGCTCAAAGTCTGAATGGGTTTGACACCTTCTTAGTCAAAACAGAGCTTGTTAATGAAATTTAAAATTGAAATCAGAACTTATAATTACATACAGTATTTGCAAATATTGCCACATATGTTTTATAAAATAAGCATATAAGTTGTACTTTGAAATTATATCACTTTTCTGTGTATATTAACACATTTGAGTATCAGACAGGAGAGCTACCAACAGAGTAAATAATCATGGTGACCAAGGTGATTATGATCCATTTAAGAGCCACACCAGCTTCAAACACCAGACAGTTTGAAATGCAAGTAGCAAGTAGTGTTCAGTGTCCTGATATAAGTAATAATCAAATTCACCATCATACCCTCACATGCATGTCCCAGTGGTTCTGACTGGGTCTCCTTGCTGACCCGGTTACTGCCTGTGCAGGTGATGTTTCCATTATAAACAGTGACAGTGATGTTCACATCTGGCCAGGATTGGGGCTCTGTCTGTGAGCACTGGGTTTGATTACAGGTGTAATAGACCCAGCTGTCCCTCACAGAGCAGTTCACTGACACAGTGCAGAATCCTTCAGCAGAGCTTAATGAAAGTGCTGGTTTGGAAACAGCCTCTGCAAAGCAGAACCAATGCATATGTCACCCCAGAGATAATCATTTTTACAGTGCAGCAGAGACACAAATTAACATTCTAAAATTCTGTTCTTACCTAGTACATGTAAGTGGTATTTGGCTTTTACAAAGTCCATCCTATTTTTATCTTTTATTGTGGCAGTATAGATGCCCCGGTTTGTCTCGTCTAGTTTCTTAATGAGCAGAGAGAAGTCGCTACTGTCAAACTGTATCTTCTCTGTATAATTTTTGTTGTAATATGAAGGACTACTATCCAGTGTGTGTTCCACTATGTCTGTATTATTATATTTCCATGTTATTCTTATGATCTGTAAACGTTGAAGACCCTCCACTGTGAGATGAACAGATGCTCCCTTTTGGCCATAAACAGGAGACTCTGTAGGGCTGGAGTCTGGAGAGAGATGGAGCACATTTTTAATATAATTTATCCCCAAATGATTAACCAAGCACAGAACATACTGAATGCAAAACAAACTGTTTAAATATTTAACTAATTAATTGTATATTTAACATAAGAGAGAAATAAATACCCATTTCCAGTGGCCAAATAATACAATTAATTTAAAGGGGTCAAATAGTGGTCATCAAATCTTTGTGGGGGGAGGGGGAGTGGTCATGCGGCCTGGATTAAGTTGAGTCCACCCTGATATAGGCAGTAGATTTACCTTTACCTGAGTGAAATTACACTGAACATTTTTTTTTTTTGTGAGGGAGGCAGTATATTGTTGCTGGTAGTGCACTCTTCTTAATAATCTACACCAGGGGTGGGCAATCTTACCCACAAAGGGCAAGGTGTGTGTGCAGGTTTTTGGGATAACCTGTAGGTCAGCTGTTCAAACCCAGGTATGAGGACTCTTCAGCCAATCAGTCCTCTAATTAGTGACCTAATGAGGGAGTTGCAGTGAAAACCTGCATATACATCGGCCCTTTGCGGATAAGATTGGCCACCCCTGATCTACACTGTTCATTACTGTGGGTATGATGTATGACCTCAACTTAGTCGTGGCTATGAAAAATGAGGGGGCCACGTAACACTGTGCTGGTACAGCATGAATTTTGTCATCTTTTGTGTGCTGATGTTCTATTTGGACTGATACAATTTTTATGGGGCACTTGCTGTTGTTTGTTGTTTTTAGGATCCTTAAAATAAACAGCATAAATGTCCCAATCCACTCAACACACAAAGAACGCTTTGGTCCCTGTTAGCGCCTAAAATACTACTATAGGTGCTAGTTTTCCTAAAAGCAAAAAATTCCATGTTTCTGAGTTTGTCCCCTGTGCCCTCTGATGGACTGGCACCCTGCCCAGTGTATCCCTGCCTTGTGCCCTGTATGGCCTGGCATTGGCTTCAGGTCTAACCCCAATAACTGTAGAATATGTTGTGCCCATAAATATTTTTATTATTTAGTACTTTTATGTAAAAAAGTACTTGAATTTTCTAAAACATAACGTAAATAAAACTTAAAAATGCATGAAAATGGTTTATCGCTACAAGTAATTGGTTCTTCATTCATATTGTCCATGTGAAAATGCATAAAAATATCAAGTTATTCAAGGATTGCTTCTTACACGCTTCTTACCTCTAGCAGTAAATGAAATTTTGGTCACAGTATGGTAAACAAAATAAGTATATATTGGTTATCGTTCAAATTTTCTGATGCAGAAATATGGAAATGTAATTGAGGTTAAAAAGTAATTCCATCTAATTAGTTTTTGCTCCACTAATTATATCTGTTTTCCAAGTTGTATCGGAGGTCCTTGTAGTCAACCAATCAGCAAGCCATCGCTTTTAGCTCCTCCCCAGAAGTTCATGCTTGAACAAAAAATACCTAGTCTGGAGAAAGGACTAAGACAGTTTTGGAACTGCCTCTGAGGAACTGCAATAAGGCTGAGTACCTGCAGTGTGAATGCGACAAAAGTTCCTAGTTCGGGAATAATAGTTATAGACAAAATGATCACTTTTTGAACAGAGAACACCATCTAGTGTGGTCAAAAAATACAGCAAATGGGTCATGAAGTGTTATTTTGTCCATCACTACAGAAAAAGGTTCTGGTTCTTGAAATAAGTTCCTGCGGAGTGAAAGCGCCCATTGATATGACCACATGAAACAGTATTGCCAAGCATACTTTGCGAACAAAACACATACATTTATGCTATATAGGGATAAAAAAAAAAGTTTTCTCTTTTGTCACGAATGTAATCTTAATATATGCATAAATTTGTGATGTGCAGAGATGGTCATGTGAGCTCCTGCAGTCAGCTGAGTTACGATCCACTGGAGAAAATGGTATTTCTGTGTGTGTGTGTGGAGAGGGGGGGGTGATTGTGTGTGTGTGTGTGTGTGTGAGAGAGAGAGAGAGAGAGAGGGAGAAACTTGACAGAGATCTTTATATGATCATGCTATACCTCCCATCCTTTTATGCTATTTTTTTCCCATTATACGCTACCAGTCTAACGTTGGCCTGTCACTTTGCTCACATAAGCAAATGTGCAAAAAACCATGGATGTCAAACAAATATACTCAATATTCTTGGCTAACATTTGCTCAATATTATTTGCTAACAAATTTGTAGTATGTTCACCATTTGAGTGCCTTTATTAGCAAGAAATTAAAGTAACCTTATCTAGCAGTCATAACAGCAGAGAAAAACTGAGGCATTCATTCTACAAGGGACATTAAATGCTTCTCTGCTTCATGGGATGAAACAGTTAACTAGTGGATTTAAAGGACAGCCTAGAATGTGACTATGCTATCACACACAAGCAGTTAATATGATGTCAGACATGCACTGTTACATACTCTTTCCATGTTATAAAGGAAACTTGTTTTGTTTGACTTATCTTTTCATTCATAATTGTTCACTCAACTTTCCAATGCTTAACAAGAATAAAAATCTGCAGTTTATGAAATAAATGACAAATGGTAAAAACCTGTGGTGTGCAAAACTTTTGCCTGGTTGTGTACAGTATATCCATCTACCCATTTCCTGTACCCGCTTGTCCTGTTCAGGGTCATGGGTGTCCGGAGCCTATTCCGGAGGTTAGAGACGCAAGACAGGGAATAACTCAGGATGGGATGATCATTTAGATCTTGTGAAATCGGATATCATCTGGGAGATTGGATATTGTAATATAATAATGTAGCGTAGAATTTGTATCTTCATGGTCTTAAAGCTGAGATGTGAGAATTATTTATTTTGATTAAATGATAATCTGATGATAAATTATACTAGTGATATTTCAATGGTAAAATGCCTGTTTACTTGAACATTACATGCATGATGATAATAACTTATGTGTCTCAATAAAAGACAAGCGCCAGGCAAACCTGACTTAGACCCTGATAGCTAGAAACGCCCCTGACCTCACATACTGAAATATGAATGTGGATTTGCCTGCTCGTTTTTTTTCTTCTTCTTTTGATGCCATTTAAGCTAAAATTGAAATATAATGCAAATATTTCCTTTTTTGGAGTGAGCGGTGAGCAATATCTTTGGAGCGGGTGAAAAGTGGGCCGTGATAATGAGCGGAGCGGTCTGCAGTGGCTGTGAGTGGGGGAGCGGGACGAGCGTACGGCTATGATGCTGGCAAATTCTCATCGCTCAGCTCCAGGGGCGGGTCTAGGGGGGAGCCAAGGGGGGCCAGTACCCCCGTGACAACATGCATGCCCCCCCGGGGCCCTCCTAAATATGTATGCTATTTGAGTCTGAAATGAATGTATTATTATTATTTATTATTATTATTAACATATATATATATATATATATGTGGGCTAAAATTTTGTGTGCTGGGAGCAGGCAAAACACAAACTTAAGTATTTTCTTAACGCAGTCTCTTCAGTTGGTGAAAATCTTAGTTAACGACAGAAAAAAAAATTAAGCTTGTGGAGGCAAGACAGTCTTACCAAGAAATCAGTGAGTTACATATTTGTAAAAACTGTAAAATGTAACTGCAAAGCATTGCATAAATAACTTATTGGTTTTCAAAACTGTCTTTTGCGTCTTAATACTGGCAATCAAGTGTAAGTAATACCTTGAGGACTCTACCATTTTAAAAAAGCACTTTGAAATCCATGGTTTTGTGTTCATTTGCATATATGAGCGAAGTTTAACAGGTAATTTCTCAGAATTTTCCCATAAGGTATAAACAAGTCTTATACTTTCTAAAAGGCAAGGTCCCAACCTAATTTTGAACAAAATTTGGTCAACTTTTACTATACCATTTTCAAGAAAATGTAGCTTGACATCCATGGTTTTTTGCACATTTGCTTATCGGGGTAACTTCTCGGATTTAAGGTAGTCTGGCCAAAATGTAAGTGAACGAATATGAAGTCCATTTAAACTGTGGTACCTTAAACTAATAAACCCATCTTGCTTTGCCCTGATTCTAGCTCCCTTGTCTTTTGTCCCACAGCCTCACAACATTCTCTTCTCTGGATTTGAGGTCTTATTAATTCCTTGCCCAGTTGTAGCAACTGCAAAAAAGCCCTATGCTGGGTACTTGTACTATTGTTCAACATTTTGGATGTCTCCACTTATAATGCATTTGTCATCTGGATGGCACTGAACCCATGCTGGAACAAAGGAAAGCTCCAGAGATAACTGTCATCAAAAACTGAGCAAGGAATTGATCAGACCTCAAATCCAAAGTGCCATTTAGAGAAAATGTTACTGTAAAAGTTGAACAAATTTTGTCAGGAAATATAATAGGACCTTGCTTTTCAGAAGGTATAGGATTTGTTTATACATTATGGGAAAGTTCTGAGAAATGCCTTGTCAAATTTGGCCACAAAATAACATGGATTTCAAAGTGGTACAGTAAAAGTTGACCAAATTTTGTCTGGAAATAGCCTAGCACCTTGCCTTTCAGAAGCTATAAGACTTCTTTACACCTCATGGGAAAATTCTGAGAAACAGCCTGTCAAACTTGGCTTGTGTATAATAGCCTTCATTTCATTTGGAATGAACCCAGAAAACAGCTGAATGTGAAGCATCTGTATGGTGTTCTCATGTAAGACGATTCACCTCCTACACATACCTCACAGTCACTGACAGGTTTATCCCGTTTAACTGTGGACTTTTTTTCTCAAAAGTTTATTTTGACTTTATACTCTCAAAATTTCGACTTCAATGTCAAAATGAATTATAATTTTTTTATTCTCTTCGGTGGGCATAAAGCTCTTCCGTAGGAACCAAGTTTTAGTCACGTCAACAGAATATTTCAAGTTTCGATATTTAGCGGAGATGAGGTAGAATAAACCACATTCTACGTATGAAATGTCACTCTCATTCAGTTGTTTAATCTTTGTCAAGTTTTACCCACTAATAATCCCGAAAATATGAAAATGGTTTCACAAAATAATAACTAAACATCATTGTGTAGGATTTACTTATTATTTATATTTTAATCTAAAAAGTTTGAGAAGTTTAGATCATATTTTTGATATCAGCACACAGAACTATAAGGTTCACTTCAGCTACAGTATAGAATCACAACATAAATTCTGAAAAAAAACATACCTGTCTCCACTGAGAGAGTTATCAAGGCTCCCAAAATTAGTGCAATTTTTCTGTTCATCTTA